CTGTTTTTATTTTTTATTTGCCACAACTCATGTTCTCCCATTTTTATAATGCATTTTGTCAAATCACATTTGATGATGAATGAGATGAGAAATCTGACCTTGACCCTTTTTTTCCTGACAAAGTAGATAGGCATGAATTCTAAGCATGCTTAGAATATGTTGGAATAAAAATCTTCACAAATGGCATATTTCATTATCTTGTAAGCATGGACTGCAAAGGTAGTGGGTGACATAATAAAATATTATGCTGATATGAAATAAAACAAACTGTATCTCAGCTTCATTCTCAAAAGCATCCCAGTAAACGACATCAGCACCTTGGATATTTGATTGCTAATTGAAAATAGAGAATCTAACATCCTGACAGATGTTAGAAAATTTGCAAAGGACTCAAATAGTTAAAGCAACTATGTTAAAGTCCCATACCCCCATAAAAGCTAACCTCCATTTACATTTTATTAATACTATGGGAAATATTTTTGTTCTAAGACTTGGAACTCCAAGTCTCTTGCATTTATGGATTTATTATGTTTGTCTGCTCTCAGACTTTTGATGCAAATGAATTAGTTTTAAAATATTCATTTTTAACACTCAAGGTCAGGCTGATAAAAGCATGAAAAAATGAAGCTTATCTTGCAATGTTCATGTATCAATCTGTCAAAACAAAAGAGGGCTATATTTTTCAGCAAAACACCCATTGTCTGTGTCCCTTCCTGTAGTGCTACCTAAAGAACACCAGCATCTTGTAACTACTGAGTTACAAGAACCCAGTAGTTAGGTACCAGCAATAAGTGAAATGCATAGCTGCTCAGCTTTGGGGGAGATTTGATAACTGGCTTTGACATGATACTAATGTTAGCCCTGTATTCAACCAGATTTCTGTTTTTGCTGCTGGACTTTGTTTGAAATTTCAAGTTGTAGTGCCTAATTTAAAGCCTTCATAAAAAGATCAGACAAATCATGGAAGAAATGCCCATTGATATCACCAAGAATAGTGGTACTATGTCTGGGACAAGCTACTGAAGCTGGAAATCTTTGTTATGATTTATTTGTCCACTTGGTCGCATCTGATTGGATACATCCAAAACAGACAGCTATCTGGAACAAACATATTTCCTATTCATAAAAATCTTAATAAGAATGAATTCAGTTTACTAATGCAAAAGGCCCCTCAACTTATCTCTGGAATCTTCCCCAAAAAATTCAAACCACATTAGAAGCCCTTAAGATGGTAGATACTAAGGTAAAGCTTTCTTAGAAGTGGCTCCCAATTTTGGCCCTCATTTTGCAAATAGATACTTAGCACTGCATAATTATCATTTAAATAATATCAGTGACAACAACGCTGAAGTTATATTTGTTCTATAAAGTTCTGTGTTATGGAGTTCTATTTTTGCATCTGTAGCTGTTTCTGTTTGTTGTAGTATCTTGTAAGATGCCTTGTGAGATAGCATGCTCTATATAGTGAATGGGATTGTTTTATGTAAATGAATTTATTTAAATTAGACTTTTATTCGTCTGAATACAGCTGGACACACCCTAAACTCAGGTGCCCTGTGTTTAAATGAGAAGCGTACAT